TAATATATTTATATACTGATAGATTTGTTTTTTCGTAAATAAATCTGCTGATGGTGATTTGTCCCAAAATTTAAATGGCACTTTTGTAATATTACTTTTTGACCAGAACTGTAAACAAGGGCATTTCTGACATTAATTTTTTTTTAGTAATTTTAAACTTTTATTCTAGTAATTACTGGATTAATTTGAGTTATTTTAGTAAACTTCCCAAAACAAATTCATAATCTGTTTTTAGAAACTTTATTCTGCTTATTATCATAATAAAGGTAAACTGACTTTTAAAAAAATTACATATTCATGACCATCTTTTAAATGGTAAGATAATCATATAATCTATGATAAAAATAACAGAATATAAATAATGAAAGCTAATGTTATTTCTTTTTATATTCAAACTTTCAGAAGGTAATTAAAAATTTAAATTACCTAGATAAAGAAAAGCCACCAGCTGTGCTGGGACCTACTGTAGTTGGTTTTATTCAAGTTGAACTTTGACTTATTTATCTAATGATTCTTTTTGCATGATTTTTTATTGGCAGTGATCTTGTATTGACCAGGCTGCTGGATATGGAAAATGAAGAAGAATATCCATATAAATCAACAGGTACATCTTCTAATACTGCAAAGAGAAGAAAACATCGAATATGTGAAAATATTTTAGAATAGAAAAGGATGAGAATGAAGAAGTGAGAGCATATTGTCGAAAGGCTCCAAGTCAAGCATTAACAACTCCAAATCAAGACCATGTTAGTACCATGGAACTATAGCTGGTGCTGGTCTCATCCCTCACATCAACATAATAATAACAACTTTGCTTCTCTGTTTTTAAGTGTTTTGAGTGATGCGACTGTTTATAGAAAGATTGCTAGTGATCTGGTTAGCTATAATGGTCTGAAACTAGGAACGTCTAGTTGTCTTTGTTGTTTGAGTTAGAGCTGAGGCAGTGAGTTTGGGTCTGTGACAGTGAATGACTTTCTGAGTCAATTAGTATTTTTTTGGTGTAATGGTGTTGTGTGTTGTTCTTTCAGGTACAACGCCAAGCAGGAACTGCGCAGAACCAAGCTCAGATTCTAAGTGAAAGATCAAAACTGCTGTTGTCTTCTGTTGGATTTAGCATTTCTCTAAGTTTTCTGAATTTTTGTTATGACGTTCTTACATTTCTGCAAGAAAATGTTACCAGATTTTATATTTATAAGAGTCACTTCTTAGCAATTGTTTATTTTGGTCTCTATTTACTTATTGGATTGTAGCAAACGTATTTTTAACGTAAAAGTGGTTTATTTTAAAAATATTAGGTTGATGGGTCAACCATTAACCCATAAGACCCAGTTTAATGGGTCACGGGTCAACACAATCCATTAATGGGTTGAGTTGACCCATGACCCATTAACGGTCAACCCATTTGGGTTTTGGGTTAGGTTGACCAAATTTGATACCCCTAGACCTACAACTGATTTATTGAAAGCATTTTGTTGGAAAGTATGGTGTCCCCCGAAGATAAAGCACTTCTTATGGCAGTTGATATCGGGATGTATAGCTGTCAAGAAAAACTTGAAATCAAGAGGGATGCAAGGAGACACTTGTTGTGTCAGGTGCGAAGCAAAGGAAGAATCAATTAACCATTTTTTTTTTAATGTCCCACAGCACATCAAGTCTGGGCGCTATCAAAGATACCATCTAATCCAGATATTTTTCCTACTAGTTCCCTCTTCACAAATATGGATAACCTATTTTGGCGAATACGCCCGAAAATGGATGATCATCACTTTGCTTGGATACTATGGTACCTCTGGAAAGGCAGGGATAGTAAGACTTTTAGAAATCTGGATATTGATCCCAAAGACACACTTAAACTAGCAGAAACAGAATCAACTCTGTGGGCCGAAGCTCAGATAGAACATTCCCAGAGGGAACCACAACAGAGAGAGGATGTGAACTTACCATCCATCCCAGGCCGCTGGTGCTTTACAGATGAATCATGGAAAGTTAAGGATCAGTTTTCAGGATAAGGGTGGTATAGTACATTAGAAGGGTTTGATGCGTTAATGGGGGCAAGGAATGTTAGGACTAGCCTCTCGCCTCTACATTCTGAGGTAGAAGCGCTAATTTTGGCAATGGAATGCATGAAGAATTTGTGTCAATATCAGGTTACTTTTGCAACGGATTGTTCTCAATTGGTGAAGATGGTTTCGGAACCAGAAAATGGCCCGCGTTTGCTACTTACTTGGAGGATATCAAGACGCTAAAAGAAAGCTTTCTTATCTCAGAGATCATCTATGTACCAAGAACGCATAATTCACAGACGGATAGTCTTGCACGTAGTGCTCAAAAACAATCGTCATTTGTTGTTCACATGGATGCAGAGCTACCATAATGGTTTACAAAATCAGTATGAATCTGTTTTAAATTGATGACAAAACCAAAAAAATGAAAAATTTAAATATCTTATATTATTTATTCTGTTTGTTTGTTTACCAGCCCGTAGGGCTGAAACAACCTTAGTTATATTAAAAATTGGATCTTTGGGCAGCGGTTGCAGTCTCAACGACAAAGCCGAAAGTTAAGTTAACGATGACGGTAAAGTTAACTTTACTTCCAGTCCGATCAGCAGATGCACGTTTCCAGCATGTTCATATCAAGATTTTAGCTAGTTATATGTGAATATATTTTGTACAAAACCCTTGCTTGAGATCTCGAGAAACAAGTCTCCAACTTCTTATAATTATTTGTCATGAAAATCTGAGTTAGCCAACTTGACTGTGGCGTAAGGAGAAGATGTCGTAAGCGAGTCCCCATTTTTAAGTGTGTTCAAAAACTCGTGTTTACTATTAGGTCCCCAAACCACACCTAAGCTCTATTACTACTTGATCTTATTCTCTTTTCTCATGTTGAACATGCAACCGCATCTGAGTTTGTATGGGCTTTAAAATATTGGCTTCACAATCTATTCTACTAAAACAGAAGTACAAAATAAAATGAACCTTTTTTTTCAACAAATTCATTACATTTTTTTTATTTAGTTATTTTCACTAATCTTAACTACTTTATTAATTGATTTTTCCCAAATAAGTTGACAGCATATATTATAAAAATACACTATAGAATTTATCAGTTAAGTGTTTTATTATATCTTGTACATTCTTTTATTTAAAATCTTTCAAATACTTCATTAATTGTCTTTACCATAATAATTTGACGTTGTTTATTTTTGTGATAACCATGATAATTTCACATATTTGAATGAAATTGTTTCATTAGTACAATAATTAAAATCGCTGAACAAATAATTATTTTTAATTACATAATCAGTTAAATATGGAAATTCGGTTACATGTTCAGTTACATATCGATTTTTTGGGTATCGTTTTTTTTTTAAAAAAAAAATCAACTCTGTTCGAATATTATAAATTTTTTGACGGGATTCGAGCTGGATTCTTCAGGGTCTGGATAGGTTTGTAAAAACCTAAAATATCTAAATAACCTATATTTATATGTTTAAAAAAGTTATTAAACAGTTTTGAAAAATAAAATGCCCACGGGTCAAGCTCTAGTTAGCCTTAAAGATGAAGAGATGTGCTTATGTATTTCTTGCACAACATTCTGGTTGCTTGAAGTTTTGGCATGACCAAATCACCAATTAGAGTTTGCATACTATTATAATTTACACATGAACACACATGTTAAGTTGAAAATTAATGGAATGACTAAAACAGCTATTTAATAAATCGATCAAATGGAAATCAATGGAGACATATTGTTGTCTGGTCCAACAAAAAAGGATATACAAATATATTAATAAAAGAGTATCGCCACTTTTATATTGTATATACTAATGTCTATTTTACTAAAATAGAAAAAATTATAAAAAAAAAAACATTGAAACTGCATGATATATTTATGTTCTGATAAATTATCTAAAATACCACAAGTTAAGTGTCACTTTTCAAAAATACTTTCAATCAAAAAAATACGAGAAATTTTTACTTTTACACTTTAGCTTATACTATTATTCAACTTTACCTTCTATTAAATGACATTTTCATAAATACACAACTCACTAATGGGTAAATGACAACAATAACCCTAGCTAATATAGATTCGACAACGATCCTAGATTAGGTCTACGCTCACGACGGCGATCAGATCTATTCTCTTTAGCTACGCAGACGAGATACGATGGTGACCAGATCAATTCTCTCTCACGATAAAGACGAGTTCAGATCTTCTCTCACGATACCTCTCTGGAGGCATCCAGTGAAAAATATTTAAGAGGAATACACTCGTTTACGAAGAATCAATACTCAAAATCTCAAAAATGTCGGTTCCTCTACCCAATTCGCAATTTGTGTATTTTTTTTTATTTTATCTTTGTTATCAAAACAGGTTGGTTATATTTTTCATTTCCTTAGTCAATCTACTTAAAGAAAGAGTTTCGATAGTTCTCGGAAATTTTTAACCCTTTATAAACCTAGAATTTGTGTATTTTTTATTTTGTTCTCTGATATCAAAGAATTTTGATTTATACTTGTCATTTCCTTAGTTTGATCCACTAAAGGAAATATTTTTGATGGTGAACATTGAGTTTTCGAAAACTTATAACCCTTTATAAATTTGGAAACTTGTGTATTTTTTTATTTTGTTCTCAGTTATCAAAGAAGGTTGATTTATACTTATCATTTACTTTAGTTCGATCCACCAAAAGATAGAGTTTTGATAGTGAACATTGAGTTTTTAAAAATTTATAACCCTTTATCATTCAGACCTTTGAGATACCCGAAAATTCGAAACAGCCTATACGGATCCGAACTTGTAAGTTGTACCCAAACTCCCATACTTACTTACTCTAGTTAGTAGTAGGTATGATCCGATCCTCTGTGTTTCACTAGACGACTCCGTTTGTTTTTTTTTTAAAGTCTTCACCTCCCTTTCCCCCTCCTCTTAGAAAAAGCCTCCTCTTTTAACCGCCTTAAAGGAGACCACCAATTCTCCGACCACAACAGATGAGAAAAGCTTTATGTCTAACACAGAGTTTGTCAGTCATACCCGTAACCTCAACAACTTTGATCGATCTCAACCGCCGACTAACCGCTCTCACTCGCTCCGGCGAGAACAGAAACGCTCTCAAGCTCTTCGCCGATATCCACCGTTGCGCAACTCTAAAACCAGATCAGTACAGCGTCTCCTCTGCTATCACCGCCGCTTCCCACCTCCGTGACACCATCTTCGGTAGCCAATTACATTGCTACGCCATCCGCTCGGGTATATTATCTCACTCTCACGTCTCCAATACGCTTCTCTCGCTCTACGCGAGAACAGGGAACGTATCGTCATTAAAGAAGAGCTTCATAGATATCAAAGAGCCTGATGTTTATTCATGGACAACCCTTCTAAGCGCAAGTTTCAAGCTTGGTGATAACGATTACGCCTTCGAGGTGTTCGATAAAATGCCTGAGAGAGATGACATTGCGATTTGGAATGCTATGATCACTGGTTGCAAGGAGAATGGGTACCACGGAACGAGCATTGAATTGTTTCGAGAAATGCACAAGCTTGGTATTGGGCATGATAAGTTTGGATTCGCTACTGTTTTGAGTATGTGTTCTTTGGGTTTCGGTAAGCAGGTGCATTCTCTCGTTATAAAGGCTGGTTTTTTGGTTGCGTCGTCTGTTGTGAATGCTCTGATAACAATGTATTTCAATTCCCAAGTGGTTTGTGACGCTTGTTTGGTGTTTGAAGAAGCTGGTGTTTGTGTTTGTGATCAGGTCACCTTTAATGTTGTCATTGATGGTTTGGCTGGTTTGCAAAGAGGAGAGTCTTTGTTGGTGTTCAGAGAAATGCTAGAAGCTGGTCTTAGACCAACCGACCTAACTTTTGTAAGTGTTATGAATTCGTGCTCATGTGCGGATATGGGACACCAAGTACATGGACTAGCCATCAAGACAGGGTATGAGGAGTATACTTTGGTTAGCAATTCCATGATGTCAATGTATTCTTCTTTTGAGGATATTATGGTTGCTCGAAAGGTTTTCGAGTCACTGGAAGATAAAGATTTGGTTACTTGGAATACAATGATCTCAGGCTATAACCAAGCCAAACAGGGTGAGTCTGCCATGTCGGTTTACAAGCGAATGCATAGAATAGGAGTTAAACCGGATGAGTTTACTTTCGGAAGTCTTATAGCAAGCTCTCTAGACTTAGATGCCCTGGAGATGGTTCAAGTGTGTGTAATCAAGTTTGGTCTCAGTTCAAAGATGGAAGTTTCCAACGCGTTGATATCTGCCTACTCGAAGCACGGAGAGATAGCAAAAGCAGATCTTATATTCGAAAGAGCTCTGATGAAGAATCTAATCTCATGGAACGCTATAATCTCAGGGTTTTACCATAACGGGTTACCTTTTGAAGGTTTGAAAAGATTATCTAGCTTGCTAGAAACAGAGGTCCTAGTCTTACCTGATGCATATACTCTTAGCACTCTTTTGAACATTTGTGTAAACACTTCTTCGTTGATCCTCGGGAAGCAGACTCACGCTTACGTAATAAGACACAGGCATTTCAAGGCGACGATGATAGGCAATGCCCTTATAAACATGTACTCTCAATGCGGAACTGTGCAAAAGTCTCTTGAAGTGTTCAACCAAATGTCTGAAAAGGACGTTGTGTCATGGAACTCTCTGATCTCTGCATACGCGAGGCATGGGGAAGGAGAGAATGCGGTTGTTACCTACAAGACAATGCAAGATGAAGGGAAAGTGGATGCTGATGCAGCCACGTTCACAGCGGTTCTCTCTGCTTGCAGCCACGCTGGTTTGGTGAAAGAAGGAGTTGAGATCTTTAACTCTATTGTGAAACCGAGTGTGGATCATTTTTCGTGCTTAGTGGACCTTCTTGCTCGAGCAGGTTACCTGGATGAAGCGGAAAGCTTGGTGAAGATGAGTGGGTACCGGGTAGATGCGTTGTGGGGTTTGTTTAGTGCTTGTGCTGCACATGGAGATTTGAAGCTGGGGAAGATGGTTGCTAGGTTGATAATGGAACAAGAGAAGGATGATGATCCCTCGGTTTATGTTCAACTGTCGAACATTTACGCAGGGGCTGGTTTGTGGAAAGAAGCAGAAGAGACGAGAGAAGCCATGAATGTGATTGGAGCGATGAAGCAACGAGGTTGCAGCTGGATGAGATTGTGATCGACTTCAGTTTATAGTCTTGTAAAAAAGTTGGGAGCTAAGAAGTACATTCAGAGCAAGGATTAATAAGTCAAAGCCCTACTGTTTCAAAGGCTATAAGGAGTAACTGGTGGCTAAGCCGGTGACTCGTCGCCATGGTCGTTTGCAAAGGTTGAAGAAGAAAGTGGAGCCCAACAAGGAAAGAAACTATTTGAAAGACATTCCTGGTAAGTCTATGCTTTGGTTCTTTATGTTTATAAACTAGGCTTTTAAAGGTTTGACTATTACTCTTTAGTCTTTGCTAACCTGCATGATGCGAGTCTTTTTTAATCTATTTAATCCTGTACATTGCTCACACAGATTTGGAAATGTTGAAATATGCTTATGCTGAGTTGAAGTAAGCTCGTGGAGCTTTTCAGGTTTTAATACGTGTTAGTTTGTTCTCATTATCGCTCTCTCTCTCCCCATTATTCTCATACTCTTTGCTTACAGGTGTATGATTTTGCAGTCGCAAAGATTATAGATATGAAAGCATTTTGCAGTCATGAATTCTTTGGCGCAAATACAAGTAAGAGCACTCAAATTTCAGAACTTAGGAACTAGTAAGATGGCATAAAGAGCATATCTACGCTTTCCATTGGCATATCGGTTGACTATTGTATTTGTTTACCTTATTCATCGATATTTGTTGCTCATCCAATATATATTTTTTGCACTTTAGATTTTTGCTCTCTCTGGAACCATTCTTTTTTTTTTTTTTTGATTGAATATCAAATTTATTAATCAACACTAGAAAAATTTACATAGCTATTGAAATTGTTCTAAGTAAAAAGAATAAAAGAATGAAATCTTCTAACTTGTGGTAACAGCAAACCATCTTCTAAGCAAACCCTCCATCTTGTGATTTTCCTTATACTTCAATGAGGAGATACGATTCTTGACTATCTTCCCAATGATCTTAGTAGTCTTCTCCACTGGGGTACAGATTCCTCCATGTCTCCTTGAGTTCCTTTCCTTCCACATGACATAAATAGATGTTTGAAACACTAGGCAAAGAAGAGCTTTGTCTAGTCGACTTCTATTTGGCCTCAGCATTGATGTGATAGTATCCTCCCAATCTGGTGTGATTTCTTCTCCAAGTAAACCAGCAGCTACTTGCATCCAAACTGTGAAAGTATACGGACATGCAAAGAACAAGTGATATCTACTTTCATCATTTTCTCCACAGTAAATACAGCATTGCTCCAACCCCCATCCTCTCATTCGAACTCCAGTAGATAATCTATCTTTAAACGCTAGCCATACCATGAAGGATTGTCGGGGAATAGCCTGGGGGAACCACACCAATCTGCACCATGTGGGTTTTGCTTTCTTCTCTCGCAAGTAGTCCCACGTCTTGGTAGCGAAAAAAGTTGGTTTAAAGTCATTTTGAGCATGTCGCCACAAAACAATGTCAGGTCCTTCAGTGGAAGCTGAACAGCAAGTCATTGCAAGCTTGTCGCAGAGGTGGGGGTAGCGCCTCTGGGCACATCTCCTAATGTTCCATCCATCTCCAGAGGTAACTTCCGCTAGAGTAGCAGACCTGCTCACTCCAAGATATCGGATGCCTAGTTCTCCTGTTATATCCAGCAGTTTGCCCATATCTAACCAGTTGTCAAACCAAAAATATACAGCTTCACCATTTCTGACCTCATAGCGAATGAACTCATACGCGATGGGACGGAGCTTCAGTAGCTTTCGCCAGACCCACGATCCCTTATTCTCGTTAGCATCCCAGTAGGAGCTGTTCTTGAGGAGATACTTGCAAGTCCAAACTACCCAAAAGGAACCTGATAAGGAGAATAATTTCTATATGAGGCTTAATGCAAAAACTCGATTGGTGTCTCTGAGACGCCGTATACCCAATACCCCCTCCCCTTTGGGATAACAAAGATCATTCCATGCAACTTTAGCTTTGAAGGTAATGGTAGGTGAGTCTGACCACAGAAATGCGCTACACATACTTTCAATGGTGTCAATGCAGCCTTGGGGTAATATAAATGCAGAACACCAGAAGTTAATCGTACTGGTGATCACCGACTGTATTAATTGAAGCCGTCCAGGAAAGGATAAAGCTCGATGAGTCCAAGACAGGAACCATTCTTTTATTATTTCGCAGTTGGTTTCCCCGGAGGGCGGGGGGTGTGGAAGCTAGCTGCTGGCAAGTATAAATGCTAGAAAAAACTGACACAACAGTTCATGAATTTTAGCATTGTTCTTCTTGGTAAATATGTTTAAACCATTTCACTAGTGTTTTACCCGTTTCACTTTTCAGATCAATATTTTTAATTGATATAATACGCTCTGTATTAGGTGAAATTCTTTTAAAATAATAACTAGTTTATGCTATGGTTGACATTTAAATAAGGTAGCTGAGGAAGTAGTGTAAAACTTTATGAGACTTGGGTTGGGCCTACATTATACAATCCGCCATGTTAGTTGCAATCTAACACTATTAAAAGGGGCATATGCTGCCCTCTGAGCTATGCCACATCATTAAAAATAATCCACAATCAGAGTGATCATTTCTGCCATGTCATGTAATTATTGTCGAAATGATAAAAGGTTTCTTCTTTCTATTAGGTTGTGGCCCAAATCGATTCACCCTTCAGGCTTCTGCATCTCCACTTCGTCATTTCCGTTACATCTTCTAGATGGGTCTGTGTGATGACGATTTCTGTTCCGGCAAATCGCTTTGGTAACTAGATCTCTTCGACTCTACAGCTATTCACTACCAACAAGACGTCTCCTTCTCCATCTCTCATATATAGCGAGGTCTTCTATGGTGAGTTCTTCTTTTTCTCTTAACTCTTCTCTTCTCTTCCACTTTTTCATTTGATTAACTCGCTGTTACTTCTTTTCTCTTTATTGTGTTTCTCATCAATTGTCCGTAGCAGGAGCATTAGCAGAAGCAAGAGCCCAAGGAAGGATCTAAGGTGTGTTTGTTTACCGTGATCCTTTTTGTATATCTCCCGTTAAATTGTGCTTATCAAATGTTTATTGCAGTAAACAACCAAGACGCTCTCTTTCTAGATCAATTTCAAAATCTAGATCGCCATCTCCTGACGGGAAGAAGAGTCCCCCTAAGTCTAGGTCCAGTTCTCTTTCAAAATCTCCAGCCAAGGTATACAAATAAGTTGCATTTTAGAATAGTTTTGGAGCAAATGTTGACCAATCACCACACTGCAACTCTAGACAATTTCAAAATTCAAAATTGAACCTTCAGAATTTTCGAAATTGAATTGATTCATCTCTTTCCACAGATGAGAAAAGCCCTAATTTTGATGCTCTAGAAAAAAAAATCAGCAAATGGGTGTGAGCGAGTTTGGTTTTTCCTCTCCTGCGACATCAATTCACCCGTCACTTTTCGTATCGAGATGCTCGATGGAACCCTTCCCGTCGAGAAATATACTGATTCGGGTACTCAAAGATTCTATCTATATGTTTTATTACCGGTAAAAGTAGATTTGAATGGTATATGTTCTTACTTGATTGATGTTAACCATTAACAGTGAATGTGATTACTGCTTGGTGTCGATGTTGCAGTGACTTTGGGTTTGACCCTCTTGGACTTGGAGAGGTTCCAGGGAATCTTGAGAGGTATAAAGAATAAGAGCTCATTCACTGCAGATGGGCTATGCTCGCTGTTGTAATTTTCAACATTTATTTCAGTATCCTATCTTTTAGTTCTTTTTAAGTTAATGGCTTATGTTTTGGTGTGAAATGCAGCCATGGATTTTGGTACCAGAGGCTTTGGGATACGGAAACTGGGTCAAGGCTCAAGAGTGGGCAGCAGTACCTGGAGGACAAGTCACTTACTTGGGGAACCCAGTCCCATGGGGTACTTTGCCCACAATCTTGGCTTTAGAGTTTTTAGCTATTGCCTTTGTTGAGCACCAGAGGAGCATGGAGAAAGACCCTGAGAAAAAGAAGTTCCCTGGAGGTGCATTTGATCCTCTTGGATACTCCAAAGGCCCAAAGAAGTTCTAGGAGTTGAAAGTCAAGGAGATCAACGGTAAATAAAACACATACACACATGTTATATTTTTTTAATCATTTTAAATAAAAATGTATATCTCATGTTATGTGTTTTTTCTTTGTGTCAGGGCGTCTTGCGTTGTTGGCGTTTGTAGGCTTCTGTGTGCAACAATCAGCCTATCCAGGTACAGAACCATTGGAGAACTTGGCGACTAAATGAACATCGAGTTGTACAAAATTGATGATACTACAATTTAGAAAATTCAGTGAGCAAGAGATACAAACTGTATACAAGTGCGACATGTCATAAGCTGTGTGGATTTATTAGATTCAATGCTGAGCGAGATGAAATCCTAATCGACTTTTTCTTGAACTTAAGCGGACTCCACACCACAGGCTTCTTCTGCAATGCAACCACTGTAGGATGGCTCGGCTTCCACGAGCTCCCTCCTCCTCCAAGAGGGCTCTTCTTGAATCTGCTACCTTTCACTGCATATTGTGATCTTGAGAGACGAGCTTAGAGTATCTCCCCCTTCTCAGATCACCACCACCACCATGAAACACAGAATGTGATGGAGTGGTCATGTTCATGTAAGGCAATGATGGTTCTGGTCTCAACGTTGCAATAGAGACTCTCCTTCTCGGCTGGAGTGTTTTATTATTATTACTGATGCAATGGCTAACGGAGGAGGAGCTGGTCTGAATGCAGTGGAGCTTCTACTTTGTATCATTAGTGTGTTTATGTCCATGGAACTTCTTCTTCTGTTATTATTATTATTGTTATTCTCTTTGCTTGTTGCGTCTGAGAATCTCTTGGTAGGTCCCTGGGATGGTTGCTGCGGCATGATGTTTGTGATTCTTCCGAGTGGCATTCTGATTGATCACGTGGGTGCCAATGGTGGCTTTTTCTATGTGATTCTCGGTAGTTGTCCAAGTAATAATGCAGTCGCTAGAGATCGTGTCTACTGCTTGTTTCCTTTGAGAAACTTGAAGTATACATGGCTTCTGTTAGCAAGAGGTGATATCACAAACTTAGTGAAATGTATTATTTATATAAATATAATAATATTTTTTTATTTACAAAATAATTTGTAAAGAAATATTTAGTGTAAATAACATCATAATTTTATAAAATACTAAAATAACTGGGTTGATTTTCAACTTTCGCAAATAAAAAGTATTATTTGTAAACTAGAAAAGAATATATCAAGAATATTCTTTTTCAGGAGAGAAGAAAGAAAAATACATCGGAGATAAATCCATCTCTATTATGAAATTCCTTTATTTTAGAGAAAAAAATGAGTAATACAGTGAAGATGGTCTCTATTATAAAACTCATCTATTTTAGAGAAAACAAATAAAGAAATGCTTTAGAGATGGTCTATGAAATGGCTGACGTAAATGTCGAGGTCGATATTTCAGCTTCTCTGATTCTTACTATTCTAATGTTTTAATATAATTTGAATATTCCCTTTGTTTTATAGTAAATGGTTTAAAAGTATTTTTTGTTTCAAAATATATAAGTTGTTTTTATATTTCAATGTAACTTTATGCTTACTGGATATTGTGTAGTCAATTAAATTATGTAAATTAATGTGTAACTGATTAAATTTATATATTAAATGACAGTTTTCTAAAGTGATAACTTTTAAATTAGATTTCGACCCACAAAACCGTGCGGCTATTTTAATACGAAAATATTTCAAATTATGTAATAAAATTTATCAATAAATAAGTATAATTTGATTCTATATGCTATCCAATTTTATAATAATTTTTATGTGACTTATAATATTATTAATATAAAATTTATAAATTTGTATTTTTGTAACAATTTTTTAAAAATATTATTATGTAACATACTAATTTATATATTTTGTTTTATTTATAAATTTGAAATCTATGTAAAATTAAATAAAGTTGGACCTACATAATACATAAACAAATAAAACTAAATTACTTAAAAGAAACTAAATTATTAATAAGTTAATATACAAATAAAACTAAAGAAATATTTTGTAACGTCAAAATAATAAATGAATAAAAATATATTATGTTAATAAAATAGATTTTAAAGACTTCTAATTCATGTAATATATTTGTTTATTACAATTAATATTTTACCATTAGATATATTAAAGAATATTCTGGATCAATATTCTTTTTCTAGATCAATATTCTAGATCAATACTCAATTGTCAGTTTTCAACGATTACACGTAAAAATATTATGAGTACGCTTTTTTTTTGAAAAGGGGGTTTTCTATTTTAAGTAGGTTATCGGAGTACTTTTTATTTTCGTGAATGTATTCAAGATGAGATTCCGATCTTTTAAACTAAGATAATTTATGTTCTATACATAATTATATTTTTTATACATAACTATAAAATCTCGAACTTAATACTTCATATTTTATTTGTTAATTGTGTTACATGTAATATAAACATATTTGACAATAGTATAAATTTCATTGTATACTAAAGATAATTATATAACTAAATTATTTGTAACCACTAATGTATTATATTCAAATACTTACTTCAAACTAATTTTTTTTTTTAAAAAGAATCAAATTTAAAAATTAGTTAAATTATTATAATTTAATATACAAAAATTTATATACCAATAAAACTAATAAATGTAACAAATTTAAATATATTATCCGCGCGTAGCGTGGAGAAATGATCTAGTGGTCTATAAAAATTTCAAATCCTTGTCGATGTCTAACATTATAATGGTATACTAGCATTTTTATAAATTGTTAACTAGCAGTTTCAAACAAAAAGAGATATTTTTAGGTTTCTATGAACCTATCTGGATTCGGAAAAATATCTGAATCGGATCTCTTCCAAATTAGTATTTGAATAGAATACTTTTAAAATCCAAAAAAATTGATACCCAATAAATCGACCTGCATCTGAATGTGTATGACTTATATTTAACTGATTATGTAAATAAAAAATATTTTTTTTGCTAACCGGTTTAAATTCCTGTACTAATAGAATAATTTCATTTAACATGTGGAATTATTATGATTAACACGTAAAAATAAATGATATCGAATTATTATGGTAAATATAATAATGAAATTGTTTAGAAGAGTGAAAAATGTAAAAAAATAACTTAAAAATAAATAAGTTATCTTTTGTACTTTTATAATAAATGTTGTCAAGCTATTTGAAAATAAACAATCAATCAAATAATTAACATGAATGAAAATAAAGAAATAAAAGATGTAATTAATCTGTTTAAAATAAAATTATTTTTGTTTTCTTGTTCATTTTAATAATAATATAGATACTAAATGTTTTGTTTAGTTGTCTAATTGTATCTATACTATTATTTGAGAAGTAAATTTGCTGATTGGTTAATTTCTCCATGAATTTAGGTAATTTTTCTTATTTATCATATTTTTAATAATTTTATATATTTGTTATAGAATTAAAAACGAATTTTTAATTCAGGTGGTAGGACTCCCAGCAATTTCTATATTTTCTATATTTTCTATATTTTAGAAAATAAACGAATTATATTCTATATTTTAGAAAATAAGATAAATTTGTTAATTTGTCAATTTCTTCATAATTTTAGGTCATTTTAATTATATGTCATGCTTTTAATATTTTGTATATATTACTATAAAATAAAATTAAGTTATATTAATAATATTATTTTTCTAGAAATAAGATAATTCTTATGTATTATGTGGTTAACTTAAAAATATATTTGTTATTATAAAATTTAAAATTAAGATATGAAAGTATTATTGAAAAACATTTGTAAAATTACATTTTTAAAAATATTTTTAACATATTAGTGTTGTCATTTATAAGTAATTTGATGTTTAATTTTTTTATGAAAACATCGATAAAAACTTATTATGCTGGTTTTTTTTTGATAGCCGTGGTTGATCCAAAAGGTTTTCTAGGCACAAAGACTAATTACCACGAGGCCCGCATAATCCTCATGTTCTTATCATTTAAGGCATCCCAGGTGGCATGACTCGAACTCAGGTGGTAGGACTCCCAGTTGTGAGACCTTTTTCACAAGAGCTGGAAACTCCGGTTAAAATAAATAAAACATAAACCAATATCTTAGAATTAAAATAAATTGTTATTAATAATAATTTATGTTTTAGAAAATAAGATAAATTTGTCTATTTGTCAACTTCTCCATGATTTTAGGTAATTTTACTTATTTTCATATTTTAATAATCTTATATATATATATATATATATATTAATTATAAAAAAAATTATATTAATACTATTATATTTTTAGTATTAAGATAATTCTTATGTATTATGCTGTTATCTTTAAAATATATTAATATCATAAATTTAAAATTAAGATATGAAAAATTATAATAAATATGAATCAAGCAAAAACATTTGTATAAATATAGTTTTTAAGTTTTTTTTTTTTACCATATGTATGTTGTCAGTTCACTACAATAAAATACATTTAAAGCTAGGACAACTTTTCCTAATTGTTTCCTCGTAAAAGGGGGTTTACGAGGAAATAACGAAGAAACGCGTTTTGTCGTGACACGTTCGTCGTAACTCAACTTTCCTCGTTATGTAACGAGGAAAAATTTCCTCATAAAGTCGTCTACAGCGTTTCTTCGTAAAAGCCTCGTAAGGTTTTCCTCGCTAAAGCCACTTAATATTTTCCTCGTAAAGTCCTCGTCAATGCCACGTAAGTTTTCCTCGTAAGAGCTTTGTAAAACATTTCCTCGTTACTTCCACGTACAATTTTCCTCGTAAAATCCTTGCAAGTTTATGAGGAATTTACTTGGAAACCTTATTTTTCTTAAATTATAAATAATAATCAAAATATATAAATATATTATTTTTAAAACAATTAAAATTTAAAATTCAAATAGTAGAAGAAGAAAAGTAATATATGCATAAATATCTAAGTTTAAAATTTATAATACAATAAAAAGAAAAAAAACTACGTGAAATTGGCGGACAAAGTCTTCACTTCTCTCTACCTCGTCGTCCTCCACCTGACAGGATGGATGTGGCTGTGGCTGAGGCTGTGGCTGAGGCTGTGGAATCCGTAGTTGTTCCCGCATGGCACGCAACATCATCTCCAATTGCGGATTTTCAGCCGCCAAAAAGTTGAGAAAACCCTCGAGCGATCCCATTTGAGCATGCGTCGTGCTCAAATCAGAACACGTCGCCTGCAACTCTGAACTCAGCTAAGCAGTCTCATTGTCCCGTTCCTGAGCATAAGACGATGTCGCTCTTGGAACAGCGTTAACCGAACCAATCCCCACATACGTCCCTTTTTCTTAGAGACGGCCTGTAAATAAAAGATTAATCTTAGTTAATATAAAAAACATAAATACAATGAATAATAATAATAAGAAAACAAACTTACTTCCTCGAAAATCCGATCCACGTCAGGTGTGGATAATACGACGGGTGTCCCATCGGGAGTCTGCTGACTCAGCTGGGTTTGGGGCTCCTCAACCCGAGAAATAACCTCGTTGTAGATTCGCTCAGACCGAGAATCTACAAATTGCCAGCCTTGTTCTTGTGGGTCTGCTCGTAAAGCTCCTTAAAAGATGGAAGAACTCCCGTCTCTTTAGCCTAAAAATATTTTAAGAAATTAATTAAATATATATATATATATATATTAAAACAAAGTTATTAAAAAGTTTAATTACCATATCGAGATGAACTCTGGCGTGAGGTTTTTGACCTGAACTGTGGATCATCTTTGTGTTGCCATACTCATCCTTGGTCAAACGGTTAGCGAAGCAGTTGTTAGAGGTTCTGATCGACTCTGGCTGGTTCCAATAATGGATGAACAATCATATGTCCTTATCTCTGTTGACCACAAATCTTTCAACTCTTTTATCAGTGGTTGTAGAAAAACATCGAGAGATATTTTTGGATGCTTTGGACCAGGTATTAATATGGTCAAGAATAGAAACTCTCATCGCATGCACATCTGCGGTGGCAGGTTGTACGGCGTAAGAAAGACTGGCCACAATGAATATTGTCTCCCAGACATTCCAAATGGACTAAATCCATCAGTGCATAATCCAAGATACACATTCCGGCTATTGCGAGCGAAAATGTGGATGTACATTGTTAAAATGTTTCC